GAGTCATGTTTGTTATTCACTCTGTTTTTTGCTTTCGCCAGAAAATTGCGCTCAGTGTGAACTAAGCTTAATAGTCTAAAAAAGACAGCAAAGTTTTTCTTCTGCTGTTGTTGATGCTCTCAGTTTATATAATACTTGTTATACTTTGTTTTCTTGATCAAGGATTAATACAATTTTATTTTAATTAAATATATTCTTATATATAAAAACTTTTTGAACAAATTAAGTTATTTTCTCAAATATATGATTCTCTAATTCAGTTACCACTTCTCTTCCTTTTTCTTCTTTTCTTTTAGATGATTATGATGAAGAGAAAGTTGTTTGAACACAGAGATAGTTAGATATAAAAATTTTTGTTACTAATGAATGAAGGTAACTGTATAAATATACATAAATTGTGGAATTGGTTTTTGCATGATAGAGGGTAGGAGGGCTGTTCTGCTGTTGGAGTGTTGGTGAATAATGATATGATAGAAAATGTATGGAAGTAATAATAGCTAGTACAGTACTTTATGCTAGAATATGATTTTTTTTTAACTAACAACATAATTTTTCTTAATAAGTAGATGAAAATGGTTTTAGTATGAATGTAATCAAACAGTTGGAACATAAAATGTTTAATGGCTCTTAGTGGATATGAATGTATTTGGTATATTGTATATTTATTGTAGTTTTTACAAATTTACTAGCGTGTCAGAAAATTGTTTAACTTGTATGGAAGAAAACCCACAGAAAGAATATATTGTAATTTAAATTATGGTAATTTGATTGCTTATATATCGTTATTGATTTCTTTCATATCTATATTGTGAATTTTTAAATAATTTTATTTTCACTTATTTACAGGAATTTTTTTCAAGTACTGGTGTAGGAGTTCCAGAAGTTGAAGGTCATCTCTACCTGAAAAGTGATGGGAAAAAAGCATGGAAAAAACATTTTTTTGTTTTAAGAGCATCTGGATTGTATTATTGTCCAAAAGGCAAATCAAAGGCAAGTTATATTATAATTAGTTTTTCTCTGTGTGAAAATTGCTCTTATAACTAAAAAATATATAAATATACAAAATAATTATATAAAATAACTTTTAAATTTATCTGAAACTTTTAGTTTTCTAAAGATTTATCCTGTTTGACTACTTTTGAAATGAATAATGTCTATGTTGGATTTGGATGGAGAAAAAAATTTAAAGCACCTACTGATTTTGGCTTTGCAATTAAAGTAAGCTTTCTAAATTGTAAATTTTTATTTACAATAAAGCTATAATGTTTCACTTTTGTGCCAATTAACTCATATAACTTGATTTTATAGCATCCACAAATACAAACAAAATCTTCAAAATATATCAAGTATTTATGTACTGAAGATGAAAGATCCTTATATCACTGGGTAATTGGCATCAGAGTAGCAAAGGTAAACTGCTTTTTAATTAAAAATGAAAGTATAATGAAAGTATAATGAAAAATTTGGAATTATTCTTTATTCTTTTTAGTATGGAAGACAAATTAAAGAAAATTATGAAACATTAGTTCGAGAAATAGTTGAAGATGATTTGGATACATTAGCACATGCACGAAGTTTTTCAATCTGTTCTATGGCCAAAACAATGACAGTAAGTCCTGATAGTTCAGGAAGTCCTGCAACTCCAGATAGACCAGATTTAACATCTGTTAATGGAATTAGTCATCAGTATACTCAAGAAGTGATAGATTCAGAAAATCAATGTAACAGAAGCTCAGAATCAACTCCAACCTCAACTACACCAACTCCTTTTGAAAAACCAAGACGTCATGGAAGCATTGCACGTCAGGATTCCATTAAATCCAGTACTAGCAGCAGCAGTGGCTGCATGTCTGAACGATCAAGTACTGGTACTCCAACTGCAGAGCAGATTGCATTTGAAGCAGATTTTCCAATTGGTACAATTAAAAGAAAACCTAGCATGACACCAAAAATTCCTCTTACTAATACTACAAGAAGTATTGCTAAACAGTCTGGAGAAGAAAGTTTAAATGTTGTAAGTTTAGATAATGTGAGTTTGAGTAGTAGTAGCAGCAGTGGAAGTAGTAATGTAGGAAGTTTAGGAAGAGCAGCAGCTTCTCGATTAAGCTTGAGACGATCTCATACTGATGACAGAATTACTTTTAATTGCATAACAAAAAAATTGTCAAAAAAGCCATCATCAGATTCACTTTCTGTTAACAGTCGAGTAAAAGAAAATGAAGTTGATGATCTTCCACTTCCACCACCTCCACCAGAATTACAAGAAACTCTTGAAATTGATTCAAGTTCATTACCACTTCCTCCTCCAGAAGCCTTTAAAAGCAGCACACTTAGTTTGGATTCTCTTCCACCTCCTCCACCTATACCTCCTCCATTAGATGATGAATCAAGCTGGCCTAGTACCTCAAGTCTCAATTCTCTTCCTCCACCTCCTTCTCCTATATTAGATAAATCAGAAAAGGAAGAAAGAAAGATGTGGAATGGTCCATTAACTGAACAAGAAGTATCTACTATTTTAGTTGTAACACCTGAAGTTAAAGCTGCCCCAGCTGTACCTCCAAAACCACATTCACAAGCAATTCAGAGAAGATTATCGGAAGCTGATGCTATTCATCATAATCAATCTCTTTTTTTGAATGAATTAAAACAGGGTACTTATAATAATGCACATAAATCTCAACACAGACCAAAACTTAATATAGACTGTTATAGTTCTTCACATGAATTTGAAGATAATGAGTTTCCATCTGATAATATTAGTCCTATACAAAATAAAGCATCCCCTACAGGAAGTGTTCAATCAAAATTTCAGAATTACTTTCAGGGAAGGACTGGAGGTATAAGTCTGCAATCCCCTTCATCACTCGATGCACAATCTCCCACTTCTCAATCTTCTGGAGCATCGGGAGGGAGAAAATCGAGAATACAGCAGAAACCATCTCCTCCAAAAAGAAGTGAGACGACAAAATTAACAACAACAACACCAGTCAGAAGATCATCATCAGCATCGTCCCATTCTCAGGAACAGACGTCATCCACTTGCCCTCCTGCATCATTTCTTCGTGATCTGCACCGAGTGATGGAGAAGAAGTGGAAGGTCGCCCAGCAGCTATCTGTGGATCATTCGGCCACACCACATCAGATCCTGGGATTTAGGGATCCATGTTATCTTCCGCCGGCCTCAGCAGATCAGCTGCAGTCTCCCACTTCTCCTCCATCCCATCATCCCTCCCACTATGAGCGTCCGTCCCGCTCACTGTCTCAGCCACGACACCCAAGGAAAAAGTCTCCTCACGATGAGACGTGCAATTCCGGTGCTGCCATCAAAAGACCACCACCTCCACCACCAAAACGTAGTGAAACAACACATCTGTCCAGGTGGTAGCAAAAAGGCTGGTAATCACATGTGCTCAACATGGTGCTGTAGTAATGAACAAACAAAGACCAGGGTAATTTACAAAAGAGAGGAGGAAAGATGATCAGTGCTATTTACGTTAGCCGATACTCCATGTTAATTTAACCACACCAACAGACTGTAAACTGGATAAAGCATGACAGATTTATTACAAAATGTAGAATCTAGTTTATGTTTATCACATAATATCGTGTACATATTGTATTCGTAATGACTTGTCCGTGTCATAATGCCAACTTGTCTGCTTCCTACCAATGACTTTTATTTAGTCCTCTGCCAATTCAATACTCAATAAGTGTTTTTAAATTAGGGATTAAATAGCAGTAAAGAGGCTTAAATAGGAAAATTGATTTGACACTTAATAAAAGTAGCTCTCCAACCCAAACTAGACATACTACACAAACAAACAAATTCATCCAAGTGACCATCATTAGTCACATCTGAATTCAAAGGTTATTTTGTTTATTTGGAAAGCTTAAGAGGAACAGTTTTATGACTGTTTCATAATTGGAACAGTAATTATGGATATTAACTGCATAAGATATATCAAGGACAAGTTATAAAAATCTCCTTCTGTTATTAAACTTAGTTTGCCAAGAAACTGAAATTTGTTAGATTTAGTATGTTTTTTATCCATTGCAATTTTGTTCCTATGTCGGAACTTTGGCAAATTGTCTTATTTTGAGGACCAATAGTCCACTATTCTAGTCTGATTGTATTTAGAGAATAGTTGGTGTGGTTATTCTTATAATTTACTACTTCAAGTGAACTAGATTAAATTCTAATAGAATTTACAGTTATTTTCAAAAGAGAGCATACAAAAGTGATATTATATTGTGAACACATGATTACACAATTATTATACAATTAAGAAGAAAAGCTTTTTGGCACCTTTTCCAAATAGGTGGTTAAAAAGTTTCTATAAAATAATTATATATTATTTATGTTGTTATACTAAATAGTTAAAACATAGAAGAAAAATCAAGATGCTTTTACGAAAAATTAAAAACAAATATTTGAAAAGGTATATCATTTTTTGTACAAAAAATATATATAAAAAACAAAAAAAAAACGGTAATTGGACATATAAAAAAGGGTAAAAATCAAGTTGAAAATTGAAATCCACAAGAAATTTGTAAGAAAGTTTAGGTAACACTTCAGCCTGCTGGCAGGGGAAGTGAACAGTTTGATTTGTCAGACCCAATTTAATAGTGTGAAATCTTACTGGGAAGTAGATCAAAGTCTGAACAGGCCTTTAACAGGAGAAAGTAAAAACAAACGAAACTCACTGTTTGTGTCATCCATCGAGTGTTTGTTTCCATTTTTTTGTAGACTGTATAAGTAACTATGTAAATTCAAAAACGAAAAGAAAAAAAAAAAGACATATTTTATCATTTTTAATATTCCAGCTATGATACGTCGTGTTTACTGTTTTATTATTATATTTTAATTGTTCTTTCAAGATCCAAAAGAAAATACAGTATATATATTTACATACATATATACTTGTACACACAAAATTATGTGTTTTAAGTGCATCTACATCTTTCCAATTCAGTGCCATAAGCAGCTTTTTTCCTTTTTTTTTTGTAATGTCTTCACTGCAATCCAGTCAAATGGAATCAGCTAAATAATAATAATTATTATTTTATGTTTTTAATGCCGTTTGTTTTAACCTAACTTTTGTATGTATCCACACATGGTAGCTGGACTTGACCAATGAAGTGTATATAGTGTAAAAAAATTTTTTCCTTCCCACACGTTTTAAGTGACATGCCAAAAGGAAAGTAAAAACAAAAGTTAAAAAATACAGATGGAAACAATGCAGTAGTTATCCACCAATTACGTACTTCCCAAAGACAATACCAAAAAAAAAAAGAAAAATGTATAAAAGGATAATTAACTGTAAAAGTATATCCGAAAGTGATAAACGAACGAACTGGGGTCATAGAATGGATTGGATCTCCATCACAGTTTATGCTTAAAGGACATACCTAAGTTGGGAATATATCTAAGGGGGCCATTTTTTTTGTTTTTTCCTGAAGTTTCCAATTATGATTCTATGAATTACCCCATTTTCTGTTTTTAATTGGGTTTTGGGGCAATACAAATCGAAAAAGGACAGCGTTATTTTTTTTTAATCGGATTTCGATCCCACACTTTTGACAATAGTAGTAAAGTTGCTTGCTTAATATTTATGAAATTGTTAACTTTTTTAAAATACCTAGTAGCCACTTCTGTGGATATGTTTATTCCAAAGAGACCCCAGGCGTGTGTGATAGAAGAAATAAAGGAAATTGCCTAATGAATGTGTTTTGTTTTTACTTAACAGATGGTTTAAACATGTTAATATTTTGCCAACGTGTATCCAAATATAACTTTAACCTCGCTTATAATTACTGAGTAACGAAATAATGTTTTTAAAGTCTGTTACTCTGCACAATTTTTAAAATTAATAGAACATTAAACAAGCATAGTAAAAAGACAGCTGAAGCCGAAAAAAGTTCGATTTCCGTAAACACGTAAATGGCGTATACAAGTCGTGCGCGTTTTTATTATCACAGGCAAAGATTGCGAACAATTTAAGATTTTACAGTGATATTTGATGACGAATCCTCTACGTCAAGTACTCAGAACTAGTGTTCATTGTTATTGATTGTATATTCGTGGAAAGAATTTAATGACGTAAAAGATGCCCTCTACTCGGATTTCAGTTTATACTCTTTTTTTTTTTTGCGTTGATATACGGGTTGTTTATAGTCTGGGACTTGAAGCTTTAAAAGCATAATTTTTAAGCACATTTTTACAATGTTAAGTAGGTTTAGTTATTCTAAATAAAACGTTCCGGATTTAACGTAGACGTTTACGACGTCAAGCTATGCATAATAATATATTTAAGCTTTTTTTCCTATCCCAAAACTTGAAATGATAAGACGTTCAGAATGAAACTCTTTCCCTAGGCAAATGTTTTTTTCGACAAAATAGCGAGTCTTTTATCAACGAGGATTAAATAAAATGAATAGTATGTAACCTATATGAGTTAGATGAGCGATAACACTAAATAACGGGCTCATTAGATCGCTACTTCCGATTGGATAATATAACGTCATATAGTCATCATGGGAAAATTTTTTTAAAGTGATCCGACGCGGCTATCATTTTTAAAGTTGACATTTAATGAACTTAAACTGCGCCATTTACCAAAATATGGAAATGCAACTTAAAGGAAATTCTCTCGTAGAGAATGATCGTCACGTGGTCAGTGACGTCACTGCAACACTAGTGCGATCATCGATCCGAAATCGATAAAACATTCTATCGCTAATAGCGAGGTTGCGGCCGACGTTTTCAACGCCGCCTTCCTGTAAGCCTAGAAGTGTGACAATGGCGTTTGGAACATCAGTGGAATCACGCTCGACGTTCCAAACGCCATTGTCAAACTTCTAAGCTTACAGGAAGGCGGCGCTGAACGTCCGACGTACACGTTTTAGCGTTGAAAACTTCGGCCGCAACCTCGCTAATATTTCCGCAAAATACAGTAGAGCGTCGTTTATCCGAATCAATTGGGGACTGGGGTTGTTCGGATAACTTAGTTTTCGGATAACCAATTATTATTAATTTATCCCGTGTTGAAATTTTTCTCCGTTGCGTGTCGCTTCGCGTTGAATTTTCGTCGATGTTAAGCCTAACGAAGACTATTGTATCGTTAAAAATTATTTTTTTATTTTGTATAAACAAAATAAATATATTGAAAAACCTAAAAACAATAAAAAATTATACTTCAGAAGTTAATTTAGTATCAAAAAAGTAAAATATTTGAGTAGCCGAAGACATAGCCAAAGATTACAGAGCCACAGCACTGG